TTGTGGTTTAATAATGTACAATCTTAACAGTTTCTCATTTTCCAGAGTCTAAAATATTTAATTTCATCTTTTATTATTCTTTAATATTCCCAAACTTTATAAGCCAAACTCTGCTGATGCAAACACACCATTATTTGTTTGAGAGAGAGAGAGAGAGAGAGAGAGAGAGAGAGAGAGAGAGAGAGAGAGCGAGAGAGAGAGAGAGAGAAAGAAAGAAAGAAAGAAAGAAAGAAAGAAAGAAAGTAAGAAAAGGAAAGAGAAACAGCTAGGTTAGAAAAAGATAAAGAATGAGAGGAAAAGAGAAAAACAGAGGGAGAAAAGAAAGACTGAGTGAGGTAAAGAATGAGAGAGAGAGATGAGACATGTTGAGAGAACATGTGAGAAGGAGGGGGAACAGAACGGCTGAATGAGAGAGAAACAAGGAGGGAGAGAAGAATGAAAGACAGTGCAAGAAAATAGAAAAAAAGGATGAAAGATGGAGAGGAGAAAGAAAGAGTGCAAAAAGAAAGAAAGAATAAAAAAGAAAAGAAAAAGGGAGCGAGGGAGATAAAAAAGAAAGAGAAGAGAAAGAATGTGTGAATGAAAGACAGAGAGAATATGTGTGTGTGAGTATGTGTGGCATTAGCCTGGTGCTAACATATCAGAGGAAATGTGCTAGTGTAAATTAGCTTTTCGTTGCCATGGTAACTGCTATGAATTATACAGTAACTATCATAGATATAAATACACTGATGCCGTGTTGTCTGCTGTTCTCTATCCGAGGTGATGCCAGAGAACTTGTAGAGAGGAGAATTTCCACTCTGTAAAGTCTTCCAGGTTTCTCAAACACTAGGGGGCGCTCCTGAGCGAGTCCAAAATGAATGGGTTAATATGGAGCCTTTGAGCAAAATCATAGTTTATAAATACTTAAACATTTTTAATGTAAAAAAACTACATTCATATCCTGAACACAGAGCAGCATAAAACATTTTAACACTGCTGTTATATTTTTAAGAGCTTTTAAACTCGAGTTATAGGAGTTTAAAACGGCGCCTCATGTACGTTCATGACGTCAGTGAGCTTAGCGAATGAGCTGCTCCACTCACCAACCAATCAGCACTCAGTAGTAAGGAAAGCTCTGGGTGAGGGATTAGAGAGAGAGAGAGATGGAGAGAGAGAGAGAGAGAGAGAGAGAGAGAGAGAAAGAAAGAAAGAAAGAAAGAAAGAAAGAAAGAAAAGGAAAGAGAAACAGCTAGGTTAGAAAAAGATAACAAATGAGAGGAAAAGAGAAAAACAGAGGGAGAAAAGAAAGACTGAGTGAGGTAAAGAATGAGAGAGAGAGATGAGACATGTTGAGAGAACATGTGAGAAGGAGGGGGAACAGAACGGCTGAATGAGAGAGAAACAAGGAAGGAGAGAAGAATGAAAGACAGTGCGAGAAAATAGAAAAAAAGGATGAAAGATGGAGAGGAGAAAGAAAGGGAGAATAAAGACAGAGAAGACAATAAAGACACCAACCAATCAGCACTCAGTAGCATTGAGGGATTAGAAACTATGGCCTCTTTTCCACTGCAGGGCTGAAAGGTTCTCAGAGAGAAAGAGAGAGAGAGAGAGAGAGATGGAGAAAGAGAGAGAGAGAGAGAGATGGAGAGAGAGAGAGAGAGAGAGAGAGAGAGAGAGAGAGAGAGATGGAGAAAGAGAGAGAGAGAGAGAGAGAGAGAGAGAGAGAGAGAGGGATGCAGCCTGTCACAATCTTTGGGACAACCAGTGAGGAAAATCAACAAAGTATTATTGATTATTACTAATTATTACATCTATTATTATTACGTATACATTAGGTAAGGGGAGAGGACCTGCTCCAGATGGAGGAGTTTAAGTATCTCAGGGTCTTGTTCACGAGTGATGGGAAGAGGGATCGTGAGATCGACCGCAGGCTGGGACAGGCGGCAGCAGTAATGCGGTCACTGTACCGGACTGTAGTGGTGAAGAGGGAGCTGAGCCATAAGGCAAAGCTCTCTGTTTACCAGTCGGTCTACATCCCGACCCTCACCTATGGTCATGAGCTTTGGGTAATGACCGAAAGAATGAGATCGCGAATACAAGCGGTGGAAATGAGCCTCTTCGCAGGGTGGCAGGCTACACTATATTTGAGTATAATAGCTAGTATGTGTGTGGCTATTAGCCTGTTAGCGGTTAGCCACTCATATGTGTAGTTTTCTTGGGTATTTCCTGGCTCTGATTTACTGGTACAACAGATGGAAAAAGAAACCGTACCTGGTCTCACGAGTCCGGACCAGTCTTTTGGCTCGACAGTGGAAAAAAAGCCTATTTTAACTCATTTTTAGCCGTTTAGCTCCATTCAACCTGATTCATTGAGGACTCGCTGGTGGGCGCCCTCTGCAGTCATGTTTTTGATATAACAGGGAAACAGTAAGAGGCCAGGCTCCTCATAAACCAGCTCTGGCGATACGTTTGCACGTCCGCCATGTTGGAGCAGCTGGTAACTCTTTCTATGAATGTCACGTTTGTAAGCATCTATAAACACATTTATAACATGTTATAATGCCTTCATACAGCATTATAAACATGGTTATAAACATTTATAAAAATGAATTACACTTTATAACCATGTTTATTATATATTATGAATTGTTAATATAATGCATTATAAGTAGTGTTAATAACATGTTATACTGTCAGTGTCAAAGAAGTCAGTCCCAGCTTGGAGAGCGTAAAGTAAAGACAAATACCAAGCTAACGGTGGTGAACATTACCTTTCCCACATTGGGTAAAACACTGATGCAGCTCTAGTTTAAACTCTGACATTTGAAGCCTGTAATGTGCTTTACTGTGAATGTTTTAGTGTTTCAGTAAATCCTTCAGTAAATACTTCAACTTGAAGCCTCACTCTGAACACTGGAGGAGGCTTTAGTACAGTACGCTTCACTTTACTTAGAGCGGACAAATACGACTTATGAGCTCTTATAATTTGTTATGATCAGTACTTATAATGTATTATGTTAACAATTCATAATGCATAATAAACATGGCTATAACGTGTAATGCATTTTAATAAATATTTATAGCCATGTCTATAATGCCTTATGAGTGGATTATAACATCTTATGAATGTGTTTATGGATGCTTACAAAGGTGACATTCATAGAAAGTGTTACCGATCCGCTTGTAAACAAACACACTGTGCTGAGAAATGATGAGTTCTCATGATTAAATCAGCCATGACTTCCATTTTACCCAACCGATTTTCACCAAGTTTGTTTTGTTATGATCTTCAGACACAGATTAATCTACGTTGCTCAAACTGCCCTCAGTAGCTTTCATTTCTATTTAATAACTGATGTTTAGCTGTTTGGAGCAGAAGCAAAAGTATTCAGTCTGCACCTGATGTTTGGCGCGAGCTCTGCTATAAACATAATCTCACACACATCAGCAAATCCATCAGTGTTTAACTTCTTATCTTAATTCATATACAAATGAAATGAACCCCCAAAACACAGTAAGAAGGACGAAGCTGAAGTTGGCTTCCTATTCACCAGTGTCTTGTTCGAATTGTCCCGATGAACCTTAAATGGTGCAGCAGTTACATTCAGATGCCTGAGGCTGCACCATTTAAGGTGGAACAGGAAAATTCAAACAAGGAGTTGGCTGCTGCACCATTTAAGGTGGAATGGGAAAATCTGCATTAGAAGCTGACTTCAGCTCTGTGTAAGTCTATTGTGAATATCTACACAGATTAAGAAATGCTGAAATGCTGTAACAAAGCTTACGCAGCATTAATAATTACAAATAAATAAATGCACTGCTACATCAGATTAAGATCTCCTGAATAGACTATTAAATGAAATAAGCTTAATATTAAACAAACAATCACATCAACAGGTTCTCTGTGCCTCACCAACCACACGGCCATATCTACATATAAACATCAACATCACTGCATTCCTTCCGTTATATAATCCTATCCCACTTTCTGAGTCAATATTCTTGAAATAATGTAATTTTGGACAGGATCGTTGTTAATCTGATGCTCTGTAATGGTACTGAATGCAGTCCAGCAGTGATGTTGACCGCCCCAGATCGGCGGCGCCGTTGATGTGGCTGACTGAACCCAGCACGCCATCTATGTATGTATATCTATGCTAATTACACACTTTAAAAAGTTGGTTCTTTAAGGGTTCTTTAGTAAACGGAATGGTTCTTTGCATGGGGAAATGGTTCTTCAGAAGGAAGAAGAATGTGTTGTCTATGGTTCCATATAGCATCAAAAAGGGTTCTTGTATTGTTACACTGTCAACCTTGTGACTACAGAAGAACCCTTTTTTGGTCTATATAGCATCATTTTCAAAAAGGTTCTATATAGAACCATACACAACACATTCTCCATCAGTCTGAAGAACCATTTCATTATGCATGAAACGGTTTTACATAGGACTCATAGGTTCTCAATAGAACCATTGTCTTTACTAAAGGACCCTTGAAGAACCATCATTTTTAAATGTGTTCTACTAAACTAATATTAGTGTATTAATGTGAGCGGCTGCAGAAACAGGGAAGTCACTGTGTAGCAACTTTACACTTTTTTTAAAGAGTTTTTTTAAGGTTCTTTTTTGATCTCCGTCTCTAAATCACTGTTGTTATTGTGCTTTGATCTTTTCAAACTAAATCTTTTTGTTATTGAAATTTAGACTTAAATATTTAATGTTAGTTCTCATTATGTTACTGTTGCTTTGGTGATATAATCACACCAGTGACGCTTAATAAAGCTAATAGATAGAGAGAGAGAGAGAGAGAGAGAGAGAAAAGACAGAATGATAGAGAGTGACAGAGAGGGAGGGAGAGAGGGAGGGTGAGTCATAGGAAAAGAGAAAAAGAGAGAGAGAAGGAGAGAGGGGGGAGGTTAAACAGAGAGGCAGAAAGAAGGAAAGAAAGATAAAAAGAGAGAGAGAGAGAGAGAGAGAGAGAGAGAGAAATACAGTAAATTAAAGGTATGAACTCTCTCTCTACGCTCTCTGTGACCTCTCCCCTTTTCTGAGAGGATGCAGGTATGAATCTATTACAGGAATGAGAGAACATTCACACTGACTCAGGAATCTGATATGGTCCCTACGGTTACCTGAGCTGGACACAGAGAACCTCAGCTCTGACCTCTTTCTTTCTGTCTTTCTCTCAAGTTCAAGTTCAAGTTCAATTTACATTTGTACTGTCAAAGCACTACAAAAATGATCTACATGTTAAAAGTTAATAAAAAAAAAAACAAAATACAAAACCAAGATTAATATATGACAATGCAACAATTAAGAAGAGAAATGGTTATTTATCAATTAATGATATAAAAGTACATGCAATAATAAAACAAAAACTATTTAATATGTAGTTTATAACAAGAAAGTCAAGTCAAGTCAAGTCAAATTTATTTATATAGCTCCTTTTACAACAGATGTTGTCACAAAGCAGCTTTACAGAGAATCCGGGTCCCCCAGTGAGCAAGCCTCGGTGACAGTGGCAAGGAAAAACTCCCTCAACAGGAGGAAGAAACTTCGAGAGGAACCAGACTCAAATAGGGGAACCCATCCTCCTCTGGTCGACACCGGATAACAGCACAGACACAAAACAGTATAAGTGGATACAGTTTGACACCACTGTGCAGAGCGCCGGCCGCATCGGTCACATCAGACCCTCTTAGGACAGGCAGCCGCTCAGCTCAGGGAAAAAGAGGGGGAGGGGGAAAGAGGGGGAGGGGGAAAGAGGGGGGGAGGGGGGATAAGAGGGACATAGTTAGAAAAACAAATTAACCAAAGGCTCGACTAAACAGGTACGTTTTTAGCCTAGACTTAAAGATGGAGGCTGTGTCTGAGTCCCGAACACAGACTGGTAAGCTATTCCAAAGCTGGGGGGCTTAGTATGAAAAGGCTCCTCCTCCTGACGTAACTTTATTAATTCTGGGTACTAATAATGAGCAGCACCTTGTGATCTAAGTGGGCGTGTCGGTTGATAATAGGAAATAAGGTCACTGAGGTACTGAGGATCAAGGCCATTCAGAGCTTTATACGTCAGTAGAAGAATTTTGTACTCAATGCAGAATTTAACTATTTAGAGTTAAAGAGTAGGAAAAGAAAAAAATCATTAATTATCAAATATATTTATTTGTGAGAAGAGAAAAAGAGAAAAGGGGAAAAAAGGACATCTATGTTAAATATATACATATATGTAAAAGGCTGTGGTGTGGTGGTCACTCACTGTCCTGGAGTGAATGACACTCGTACACATATCTATCTGCAGTGGACGCTGATGGACCCTCTCCTAATATAATCACTAATTTATCTTTGTCTCCCAACGTCCTGAAGTTCTCTGTTTTTCAAATTGATTATTGGAGGGTGGGGGTAAATGGGGTGGGGATGTGGAGGGTGGGGGTAAATGGGGTGGGGGTGTGGAGGGTGGGGGTAAATGGGGTGGGGGTGTGGAGGGTGGGGGTAAATGGAGTGGGGGGGTGGAGGGTGGGGGTAAATGGGGTGGGGGTAAATGGAGTGGGGGTAAATGGAGTGGGGGTGTGGAGGGTGGGGGGTAAGTGGAGTGGGGGTGTGGAGTGGGGGTGTGGAGGGTGGGGGGTAAGTGGAGTGAGGGTGTGGAGGGTGGGGGGGTAAGTGGAGTGAGGGTGTGGAGGGTGGGGGTAAGTGGAGTGAGGGTGTGGAGGGTGGGGGGTAAGTGGAGTGCGGGTGTGGAGGGTAAGTGGAGTGCGGGTGTGGAGGGTAAGTGGAGTGCGGGTGTGGAGGGTGGGGGGTAAGTGGAGTGGGGGTGTGGAGGGTGGGGGGTAAGTGGAGTGGGGTGTGGAGGGTGTGGGTAAATGGGGTGGGGGTGTGGAGGGTGGGGGTAAATGGGGTGGGGGTGTGGAGGGTGGGGGTAAATGGAGTGGGGGTGTGGAGGGTGGGGGGTAAGTGGAGTGGGGGTGTGGAGTGGGGGTGTGGAGGGTGGGGGTGTGGAGTGGGGGTAAATGGAGTGGGGGGTAAGTGGAGTGGGGGTGTGGAGTGGGGGTGTGGAGTGGGGGTGTGGAGGGTGGGGGGTAAGTGGAGTGGGGGTGTGGAGTGGGGGTGTGGAGTGGGGGTGTGGAGTGGGGGTGTGGAGGGTGGGGGTGTGGAGTGGGGGTGTGGAGGGTGGGGGTGTGGAGTGGGGGTGTGGAGTGGGGGTGTGGAGTGGGGGTGTGGAGTGGGGGTGTGGAGGGTGGGGGGGGTGTGGAGTGGGGGTGTGGAGGGTGGGGGGTAAGTGGAGTGGGGGTGGTATGTTGTTGCGTATTTGGCAGTGAGGGGGGCTGTGAGCTGTGAGCTGTGAGCCCCTCTCCAAGGATTATTCATAATTTCTCCAATTCTGTACATTTTTCAAAATTTGGGATTCATTTGTTGAATTTGTTTGTGTAAATTTCCCTTGTTTGTTTGTATCTCTGTCTCGACCTCACCTGTCAGACAGTGACCACACCGCCTCTCCTCTCTGGGCAGCCAGGACTTTTTATACCTGCCCCGTTCTGTGGCCAGGCTGTGGTCACTGAGTCTGTACTTGGTCAGGATCTGTCTCTGCTCTGTATCTCTGACAGTCAGGAGAGACTCCTCCAGTTCATACTCTGATAGCATTTTAATTTACTCTGAGTGTTCATTTCTTTAGCCCAGTGTTCCAGATAATCCTTCCATCCTTCTCTTTCTCTTCTTTCTCTTTGCTTTTCCATTTATTGTTTCCTCTCTCTGACTCTCTCTCTGTTTCTCATTGTTTCTCCTTTTCTCTCTTTTCCTTGCGTGCTTTATCACTTTCTTTAGGTTCGCTTTTCTCCTTAATTCGCACTTCCTTCTTTAGTCTATTTCTCTTTCTCTCTCTCACTTTCTTACTTTCCATTTTCTTCCACTCATATCTATTTTCTGATCCTTTCTCCTTCTCTTTGTGTTTTCTTTCTTCTACAGTCTTAGAGAAAAAAGATAGGGGTTCTCTAGTAAAGACAATGGTTCTATATAGAATCATGAACACTCAAAGAACCCTTTGTTTAAATGGTTCTTTGCATGGAGAAATGGTTCTTCATACATGTTGTATGTGTCTCTCTCTCTCTCACTATCTCTCTCCCTCTCCCTCTCTCTCTCTCTCTCCCTATATCTATATTTCTCCATATATATATCCCTCTCCCTCTCTTGCCCTATATCTCCCTCTTTCTCGTTCTCTCTTTATTCCTATTTATCTTTCTTTCTTTTTCTCTCTCTCTCTTTATCCCTATCTCTATCTCTCTCTCTCTTGCTCCCTATTTCTATCATCCTCTTTCTCCATCTTTCTGTATGTCTCTCTTTGTGTCTCTCTCTGCCTCCCTCTCTCTCTCTCTCTCTCTCTCTCTCTCTCTCTCTCTCTCTCTCTTTGTAATACATCTCGCTGTGGGGGAAAATTACACAGCTGTTCCAAAGCTGCTCTTTTCTGTTTTGTGTTATTTATTTATTTATTTATTTATTGCGCTCATGTCTGTGGTTTATACTTCAGAAAATAAAAAATGGGCCCCTGGTCCTGCATCTGTTCATACGGTTATAAAGACATGCACCAATAGCATGTAATTTGCAGCCATGCTATAGGGGGAGAGAGAGAGAGAGAGAGAGAGAGAGAGAGAGAGAGAGAGAGAGAGAGATGTTAAAAAAAATAGACTTTGAGAAACACAGCAGCGATGGGCTGAGTTTCCAGAGGCGTCGGGAAACATGAATCCCGAATGAGAAGCGATTTGTCAAAACAGGGTTTTATCTTCACTCGTTCAGCGGCGAGGACGGCGGAAATGGCTGCTCTCCCCGCGCGGTAGATCCCACACTAAATTACACACTGCGTTAGTCTGCAGCATCGCTGTTATTTGTTTATTTGATCGCACGCGAGCCTTGTTGAGGCTGATTTACACTGCTGCGAAGATGCATGCAAACATACCAGCGTAAAAAAGCAGAGAAGGGGGTTATGGGTAACTTCATGTGAAACTGTGGCGCTCATTGGTTGAACAGGAATATATTGGTGTGTCCAGACCATAGGCGTGATTTCTTGAGGCTTTAAATGAGTTGACCTGCTAGAAGCGTCCTCTAGCAGGCCCGCCGGCGTGCCCGTTCTGGCACGAGCGTTCTGGAGTGTTTTATAGCATTGAATATTCCTACAGTCTAATACACCAATTCAAATGCCTTAGAACTAGTTTAACTACCCACATACCAATTTTCAGCTGTATACATGCACCAGAAATCTCATCCTGAATTCACCCTGTCTTTCCTAACTCTTTACACGTGGAGCATGGCTCCCCAAACACTCAGCCTTTAAAATATGCTTAGGACAGAGAACTTGTAGAGAGGAGAATTACCACTCTGTAATGTCCTCTGGGTTTCTCAAACACTAGAGGGCGCTCCCGGGTGAGTCCAAAATGAATAGGCTATAATGGAGCATTTGAGCAAAATCAGAGTTTATAATTGCTTCTACATTTTCAAAGTAATATAATTCATTAATTTCCTGAACAAAGAGCAGCATAAAACATTTTAACACCGCTGTTATATTTTTAAGAGCTTTTAAAGACTCCAGCAGTACTGCTGTGTCTGATCCACTCGCACAACACATACTAACACACCACCACCATGTCAGTGTCACTGCAGTGCTGAGACCCACCACCCAAATAATACCTGCTCTGTGGGGGTCCGTGTGGGTCCTGACCACTGAAAAACAGGGAAACAATGGCCCAGTCCCATTTCTTCTTTTTACCCCTACCCCTTGTTTTCAAGTGTCACCCTAACCCCTTGGAACTGAGTTACAAGGGGTAGTGGTTGAAATCTTGACCTATGAAATGGGACCCTCAAATTAAAAAAAAAAATACTGCTTCATTAACAGCTACTAGCGCTGCTCTGTAGGCGACCCTGCCAGTTTGCAGTGACAGCAGAGGAGGGTAAAGTTCAGCTCCTCACTGCTGGGCTTTAGTTACATTTAGGGCATCATATGCCTTCAAAGAGGGGGGCAATTATTTATTATCACCCACCCCTAATTCTTCAGTGATATGAAGCTGAAGTCAGATATTCACCAGCTTCTTGTTTGAATTTTCCCGTTCCACCTTAAATGGAGCAGCAGTTACATTCTGGCACTTCAGGCGTCAGAACTGCTGGACTATTTAAGGTGGAATGGGAAAGTTAGCTAGCTACTGAGACATTAGTATATTATTAATGATTTTTTTATGCTTGTTATGAAGAAAATGACCAAAATACACCGAAACAACATTAAACTCAGATAAAACAGTGGTTATCGTAATTTTTAACAGAGAAAATTCTCACATTTGTGGGTTTCTTTGGTCTCTTGTTCAGCCATCTTGCCGGTTTTTCTTTTTTTGTGATATCTCTCTGTTTGGAGTCTCTGAAAACCTCCGTTTGGAGGGCCATGTAGCCCTAACACTTCACCCTACCCCTCTATCCTAACAAGAATTGAGACACCCTACCCCTGAACATGAACGTGCAAAACAGAGGGCTAAGGGCTGAGTGGTAGGGGCAAGGAGTGAAATGGGATTAGGCCAAAGTATGCAGAGAAACAGATGGACTACAGTCTGTAACTGGAGAACTACAGAGTGAAACTATACTGTCAGTGGAGCTGATAGAATCAACAGTGAGTGTAGATAAAAGGAGGTGGACTTGATACATAAATACATATTATATACGTAAAAGTGTATGTATATGTTGGTTTTTATGACAAAATCAATGAGCTCAAAAAGCATCCATGATATATGGTTGGGGAGTGAATGGTATGTTTACCAGTGTTTACATATTGTATTGAACTCAAAAGAAGTGCAGAAAAAAGAGCAGACAGCTGAGTTTTGTATAAAAAGTTAGACTTGATCAGATCCTGATTCCCAGCCCACAGAAACGACACACTGCTCATGTAATTCCTGTTTACGTTCTAATACAGAGGTTTGTGTTCAAATTAACCGCAAAGTTAATTTGCCGCATTCATATGGCATTATAAACATAATTATAAACATTTATAAAAATGAATTACACTTTATAACCATGTTTATTATATATTATGAATTGTTAATATAATGCATTATAAGTAGTGTTAATAACATGTTATACTGTCAGTGCCAAAGAAGTCAGTCCCAGCTTGGAGAGCGTAAAGTAAAGACAAATACCAAGCTAACGGTGGTGAACATTACCTTTCCCACATTGGGTAAAACACTGATGGCAGCTCTAGTTTAAACTCTGACATTTGAAGCCTGTAATGTGCTTTACTGTGAATGTTTTAGTGTTTCAGTAAATCCTTCAGTAAATACTTCAACTTGAAGCCTCACTCTGAACACTGGAGGAGGCTTTAGTACAGTACGCTTCACTTTACTTAGAGCAGACAAATACGACTTATGAGCACTTATAATTTGTTATGATCAGTACTTATAATGTATTATGTTCACAATTCACAATGCATAATAAGCATGGCTATAATGTGTAACGCATATTTATAAATATTCATAGCAATGTTTATAATGCCTTATGAATGCATTTTTACATGTTATGAATGTGGGGTTACATATGCTTATAAAGGTGACATTTATAGAAAGTGTTACCAAAGATGTTAGTAAATTTGTGGATAAGGGGAGGGTTAAAATCAAACTAAAATGAAATGGTCACCCTCTGAAAAACTGAATAGCAGATATGATCAGTTATACATGGTTTTGAATACATTTACTGGCATCTAAATAAACTGTAGATCTTGTTTAGTGAGTAAAGAGCCCTATTCACTGTAATATGTCTGGCTGTGTATGAGAGCTGGGAGCTGGCTGTGGGGGAGCGGAGCCGGTTCTCCAGAGTGCTGCACGATGATAAGCAGCTATCACTGCTCCAAATCTCTGAGCAGTGCTCCAGCCAGGGCAGGAGGCAGGGGGGCACAGCAGCTCAGCCCCTGATCCCCTCACTCAGGGCCTGGGGGGGGTGCAGAGCGAGGAATAACATGGAGTAAATCAGCATCAGCGAGACGAGACAGCAGTCTGCATCATATGGGCACCAGCTGTCACTTCTGCTTTATATGGATGCTATAATATCACCACATGGTGAGCATCTCTGGCCGAGGCCTCGTCCACACATATACAGATATTTCTGAGCATATTTTTCCTTCTGCTTTCAAAAAAATCCACATCTGCATCGATGCTGTACTCAAAATAACTACAATGTATAAGTTGTATAGAAAGATTTGAACAGCCTCAATCAATTTTCTGATTAATATTAATCCTTAAATTTTAGCACATAAAATGTGCTATTGCTTTTGCACAGGCCAAAAAAGCTGCAGCTCTGTATGTCACTCTGATAGAATCCGTGACTGTGGTCTCTCATTGAAATACAGCTTC